TCTTACAATTGCGAGAAGTTATATTACAATTATTGTAACATCAGCTTATTCAACAGAAGCTGGTTTTGATTTAAATCTGAACCGTATTCAGAGCAATCTCTTGGGTATTGAATCCACTGGGAAACACCATATGCAGGTGATGCTGGAAAACTGCTACGAATTGAGGAAAGACGATGGAAAAGCTAAAAACATCTCGTTTGTCATTGAGTTTATTTCCTGCTTTGCTATTATCTTCTATAGTCAGTAATGATATAGATGTGGCAAAATATTTAGTATCCTTTATTTCGATTAAAAAAAACAAACTAGGTTGACATATAAATGAAAGTTAGTTTTGCTGATTGATAAAACTTTGTCAATTTCTCTTAATGTTAAGCAAAACACCATAGCGAGCGTTTCATTTTCTCGTGAAATTAGCTTTTGGGTAGAATTCCTACTTAATAGGAATACAAAACAGGTTTGCTAATGAAGGAGCACAAACAATTGAAATATACAAACAAGTTAAAATTATAAAAATCTTTCATAAAAGTCCAGAACTACATTTTTCATGGTAACTGTGTACATTTTCTTTAAAGGAAACAGACTACAGCAATTTTCTGCTTACAGTCAATTTTGTTTATGAAACTGTAACCTTTGATGGATCTACGTAAATACCATGTCTTCAATATAATCACAATACCATAATTAGGCGTTGTTGAGTCGAATGCTGACTGGCGATTTTAATACTTATTGTTAGGTCACTATCTAAACACTTCTTTGTTCACGTATTTTTCTGCTTCCCGGTCATGACAAGGAGCACACAACCGATCTGAGCGTAGACAGGGGATGCCTACTCCTCTATGAGACTGGATCCCAATTCTTATATTTTTAGAGAACTGTCTCTTTGCTCCAGGCCTGGGGGCCATAAAACTTAGACGAGCTCACTTTTGATCTAAGTCTCACTTTTCCACTATATATTTCTTTGGTAAAATTGAGACTGAGACCAAAAGTGAGCTCGTCTAACTTTTATGGCCCTAGGCCAGTTTTGCTTTCTTTAAATGGACTTTTAAGCTTGCTTACTTTCGTTATTGACAGATTTCATCATGTACAACACTTTTTGAATATGTTGTAGCACAAGAAGTCTTAAGTTTCTATTTCACAGCAGTTAATGTAATCGTGATTGTTTAAAAATATATTCAGTAATGCTTTTACGATTGTTTTATATTGTTATTTACTTCATTTATTCAATGCTTTATATATTTAAGGTATCAACAACCGTCCATGAAATGGCGCATGCTATTGGACAATTTCATGAACAATCCAGAAATGATCGTGATAATCATGTCACCATGGTCTGGTCAAATATCGACAACGGTCAAAACAACAACAATATGCAGAAACATAACACCTTCGATTATAATCCATATGACTATCAGTCTGTGCTTCAATACAGTTTAACGGTCAGTTTATGATTCAGACCCTCTTATGAAAATTGTTTGCCCTCTCCCGATCGACTGGTTAAAGATAGACCGACTCAAAATGTTTCCGACTTCCAGGAATTGATATTTTTCTTCTACTTCTCCCTCTGAATCGTCATTTAGTATGGTGAAATTTTCTGATCAAATTTTCTCCTACCTACCGGCCTAATTTTCTTACTTTGAATCGGGAGATTGTAAGCCAACATCGATTTAAAGATGATCTCTTTTACTTTCTCAATATCCTTAGGGAAATTATGCGCATATTTTCTTGAAACAAATAGAAACCTTAGTTTTTGTTGCGTTTTTTTCCAGTCATTTTCCATAAATGGTCAGGCAGTTATGAAATTCCATGACCGTCGGCTGGAGTTTTTGGCTGATTCAGCCACTGGACTCATGTTTTATGATATTCAGGATGTCACAGATGCATATGATTGTACCAGTAAGAATTTCTATCAATTTCATTAACCCATTCAACAAGCTTTTTTTATATGTATATATCTGTAATATGAATGAATATTGCACTGGCTTTAAAGAATATCTCACTTAAGTGTATTTTTGGAGCATTCAGAACTAAGGATGAGAGATAAACAAGCTTTTAATCGAGAAATGCCTGGACATTTTATTTAATTGAACATATGCAACAGTCCAACTCATATTATTGTGCAAAATCTCCAGCTGTCTTTTGGTGAACTGTTCAAACGAAGTCCAATCCATGAATTTTTGTTATTTATATTAAATGCTACTGTTTGACTTTCTTAGGACCCTGTCGGGGCCCGAGTGGTACTGATCCCCTTAAGCAGTGTCAGAACGGAGGGTTTGTAATTCACACCTGTGACTGTCTGTGTCCGTATGGTATCACTGGAGACCTGTGTCAGACAGTGGGCACTGACCCAGGTAATATTATTTCTGTCTATCCAAGTAGCTGGGGTGTGGGTATATTACTTAGTGATTGACATAAAACAACATACAATCGATTAATGAATCATTATTTAACGTAATTTTATGTTCGAACTCAGAGGTAACTCCAAAATAAAATAATTTTTTGGTTGAAGAATGTGGTCCAGGTTTGATAACCCTAGCTGACGGAGAAACCAAGACCATAACTACACCTAATTTTAATACTGGGGGACCATATCCTACCGGAAAACGATGTGTTTGGTTGGTGAAGGTGAGTGAGAATAACTAAAAGATGTGTTTGATTAGTAAAAATAACTAAAAGATGTGTTTGGTTAGTGGAAGTTGGTTAAAAATGTGTTTGGATAATGAAGGTGAGTAAGAAGAGGTGTTTGGATAGCAAAGGTGAGTAAAAAGGCGTGTTTGGTTAGTGAAGGTTAGTGAAGGTGAGTAAAAAGACGTGTTGGTTAGTAAACGTGAGTAAAAAGACGTGTTTGGTTAGTGAAGGTTAGTGAAGGTGAGTAAAAAGGCGTGTTTGGTTAGTGAAGGTTAGTGAAGGTGAGTAAAAAGGCGTGTTTGGTTAGTGAAGGTTAGTGAAGGTGAGTAAAAAGGCGTGTTTGGTTAGTGAGGGTTCAGTAAAAAGACGTGTTTGGTTTGTTAAGGTGAGTAAAAAGACGTGTTTGATTAGTGAAGGTTAGTGAAGGTGAGTAAAAAGACATGTGAGTAAAAAGACGTGTTTGGTTAGAAAAGGTAAAAGATGTGTTTGGTTAATGAAGAGGTGAGTAAAAAAGATGTGCTTGGTTGTCTACATGTCAATGTCTCGAATAAATGACTTTAGTAAATTTAGTCAAACCTTATTAGAATCTACAGAATTCAAAGGTGTCTTTTAAACATTATATCAAGACTTTTTTTTATAAGGGATATATAAAAAACAGGCTAACAGGAACGCTTAAAATAGAAAGACCTTCATTTTACGTTTGTCATATCGTTGAATATCAAATAAATTTATCGCAAACACGATTCAAAAATTGAAATATTTTATATGGATTAATTACATGTGTATGATATCCTAAAAAGGTATATCTTAAGCTTTTCTTCTAATCATTCTTAGTCTTCTATTTATGATTATTTTTTCACACACTATTCAGTCTTCTAGTGGTAAGAATGTGGCTATGAAGATAGACGAGATGGATTTATCAACTGATGACGGCGCATGCGCTCACTGGCTGGAGATCCAGTACAATCTGATTGGACAGGGCGGACCAAAGTAAAAAAAATCATAGATATGTATTCATGTTTAAGATTATTTGAAAATTAAAATTTTGGATTTCCCCAGAGTTCATTTATTTCCTGTAATTATCTGTTCATTGTTATATCATTCTTTCCCCACAAAGAAACTGTAGAGGCTCACATTTTATTTCCACTCAGTCTACAGTTTTAATAAAATTGTGAAATTGTTATCACATATAAACTGTGTGTTCCAGACGCTGTGGAAAGTTCTCACACGAGACCTACGTGACGTCAGACTCCGGGAACCCGTCCATGATGTTACTGATGTTTAACAGCTCCTTTGCTCCTAATGTCCAAGCGGGCAAGGGTTTCACTTTGTCTGTGTCCTCTGTCGGTGCAGGTAACCTAAAAATATTCCATGTAACACATGAATGAAAACCATAGCATGATGGTGACAATGATAATGTAAATGTTTTCTTCATCTCTTTTATTGTTATTTAAAATCAAGGTAAGGTAGACTTTCTCGGCTTTTCTTAAATGTAGTTTGTTATAACTACCTTTGAGTAGACGTGTCTTTAATTCAAATCACAATAACATTGGTAGCAATTGATGCAATTTCAGACAAAAGTGTTGATATTAATGTATTCCAAGTTTTTGTTCTAAAATGTCTGAAGGTTAAACATATTACATCGGGATTTAAAAGTTTAACAATATTGAATGAGAATAGAAGAAATTAGTGTTTAATTGTTAACAACGATGTAAAAATGCTCTTGAAACAACTTTAAAAGTATTCTTTTGTTAAAATCAAGTGATGTGTATATGAAACATGCTTTGATGTCATTTGTAAAATACTAAATTAGGCTATAAAACTACCGATCGAGAATCCCCTGAGTTGTTAGCATTTGTGTTCAAACCATTTGTATAATATTTTATACATTAAAAACACGTTCAAACCAATCTTCAACTAAGTATATGTCTTATAATGGTGTCTTTGGAACATGTATTGATATCTTTGTTACAATATTTAGGCTGTAAATCTGCCCCTTGTGTTTTTGGAACATGTGCTGACGTCGGATCCAGTGATTTCAACTGCGCATGTGCTTCTGGATATACTGGACGGCTTTGTGATACACTTGTTGGTTAGATATCTTACAACTATTGTTGTCCTTTGTTTATTAAAGAGCTTTGAAATTCTTTTTTTTTTTAGATTTTTTCGCCATGACTTCACAAAATCAGCAAAAAATATTGAAATAAACTTTTTCAGAGTATAAATGAACATATTCTTTCAAGATGCATTCAAACTTCTCCATTTTAGGTTTTTTGTATAAATCATCAACTAAATAATGTTAAATTTGATTTAATTATTCTCAATGGTTCATCTAAAATTGAAAACAATGTTAACTTGACAGGTTCCGGGGATACAGTCTGTGACTTTGAAGGAGGTGTCTGTGGCTTTAGCAACTTAAAATCAGACTCCTACGACTGGGTTATAAAATCGGTATGGTATAGTTAATTGGACAAGTTATAGAACACATGAAGCACCTTTTGAAAGTGAGTTATTGGATAACCATACCTGTGGTAATAAAAATAAGAATTAGATGAAAATAGAGATAAAACAAATAATAAAAAAAAATCTCTTCATACTAGTTATAAATGATAAAATTGATAGATGTTGGTTAAATACTGTATACAGGGAAATTTTTGCCCCCGTTTGATTTTCGCCCTTGTGACAAGTGGGCGAATTTTAAACGGGGCGAATTCAAAGAACATAGTATAAATTTTAAAACAGAACTGTAACTGGGCGAATTTAAAACGGGGCAAAATTGTTAGCAAACAGGAAATTTAATTTAAACCTTTAGGTCTAGAATTTTAACCTTTTTAGCTCACCTGAGCCGAAGGCTCAAGTGAGCTTTTCTGATCACATTTTGTTCGGCGTCCGTCTGTCTGTCCGTCTGTCTGTCTGGCTGTAAACTTTTCACATTTTCGACTTCTTCTCAAGAACGCCTGGGCCAATTTCAACCAAACGTGCCAAAAAGCATCCTTGGGTGAAGGGGATTCAAGTTTGTTCAAATCATGAGCCCCAGGGGTAGGGCGGGGCCACAATGGCCGACCAAAGTTTTACATAGAAATATATAGGAAAATTCTTTAAAAATCTTCTTCTCAAGAATAGCCTAGCCATAATTGATTATATTTATATGGAAGCATCCCAAGGTAGTGTAGATTCAAGTTTGTTCAAATCATGACCCTCGGGGGTAGGGCGGGGCCACAATGGCCGACCAAAGTTTTACATAGAAATAAATAGGAAAATTCTTTAAAAATCTTCTTCTCAAGAACAGTCAAGCCATGATTGATCATATTCATATGGAAGCATCCTCAGGTAGTGTAGATTCAAGTTTGTTCAAATCATGACCCCCGGGGGTAAGCGGGGCCACAATGGCCGACCAAAGTTTTACATTGAAATATGTAGGAAAATTCTTTAAAAATCTTCTTCTCAAGAACAGCCAAGCCATTATTGATCATATTTATATGGAAGCATCCTCAGGTAGTGTAGATTCAAGTTTGTTCAAATCATGACCCCTGGGGGTAGGACGGGGCTGTAATGGCCGACCAAAGTTCTACATAGAAATATATAGGAGAATTCTTAAAAATCTTCTTCTTAAGAATAGCCAAGCCATAATTGATCATATTTATGTGGAAGCAACCTCAGGTAGTGTAGATTCAAGTTTGTTCAAATCATGACCCCCGGGGGTAGGGCGGGGCCACAATGGCCGACCAAGTTTTACATTGAAATATATAGGAAAATTCTTTAAAAATCTTCTTCTCAAGAACAGCCAAGCCATGATTGATCAGATTTATATGGAAGCATCCTCAGGTAGTGTAGATTCAAGTTTGTTCAAATCATGACCCCCGGGGGTAGGGCGGGGCCACAATGGCCGACCAAAGTTTTACATTGAAATATATAGGAAAATTCTTTAATAATCTTCTTCTCAAGAACAGCCAAGCCATGATTGCTCATATTTATATGGAAGCATCCTCAGGTAGTGTAGATTCAAGTTTGTTCAAATCATGACCCCTGGGGGTAGGGCGGGGCCGTAATGGCCGACCAAAGTTTTACATTGAAATATATAGGCAAATTCTTTA